CACTGTAGGAGACAAGGGTAGAAGCAAGGTGACCTATAAAGGATCTATTGCAGTAATTCAGGTGAGAGATGATGTTACTTTGAGCATTTTCTTGAAAATTTGAAAAATGTACTAGAAAGATTAGTAAAAACCACTTTAAAGTGTACAATTTAATGGTTTTCATTATGTTCAGAGTTTTGCAACCATCACCGCTAATTCCACAACATTTTCATCACCTCGGAAGGAACATTTACCCCTTAGCTACCACCCCTACTCATCCCATTTATGCCTTTTGGTGAGCAGCTGTCTCTATGCATTTGCCCACTATGGATATTTCATATACATGGAATTATATGGTGCATAGTCTTTTGTGAGTTCTTTGTCTTGGCTTGCTGTCTGCAAGATTTATTGGTGTTGTAGTATGTGCCCATACTAGATTTTCTACATTTATCTGTCGATGGACATTTGAATTGTTTCCACTTTTTGCCTGCTATGAGTAATGCTGCTACAGTCAATCATATGCGGGCATTTGTTTTCATTTCTCTTGGGTATATACCTAAGAATTCTCCCATTGGGTTTCTTTTTGTTTTTGTTTTACAAGAGAGATTTTTGTTATTAGGGCACATGGGCTCACCAGAGGGACAGAGAGAGACAGAAAGCAAGAAATCACCCTGCCGGGGGTGGGGGATGGCCACACTGCAGTCCCCTCTCCTCCATTCTTCTCTCCGGATTTTGGGCACACACACATACCTGGTGTGAGTCTCAAGCGCCTGGGTCTGGGACTTGAGCCACATTCAACCATGTGGGAGTCTAGCGCCTTAACCACTATGCCACCTGCTGGCCCCTTCCCCACTGTTTTGAAGTGAATTTCAGACATCATCTGTAAATATTCAGTATGCATCTTTCTGAGGAAAGGATTTTGAAAACAACCACAAGATTGGCTCCCTGGCAGTATTGTGCTCCTGAAAAGAAGCTAGGTCCCACATGGTGACTGAGGTTTGAATATCTAACCTTGTCAGCTTGAAACATTCCAGGTATGTGTGTGAGTGCCCAGGCTCCAGTGGGCTATAGAACTGGAGGAAGGGGATCATGGTATGATCAGACCCTGTGTGTGTGTGTGTGTGTGTGTGTGTGTGTGTGTGTGTTGGGGGGGGGTCCTTGTTTCTCTCTCTTTCCACCCTTTCCTCTCTCTTGCTCTTATGCTCATGTGTGCACACTTGTGCTCTATTGTGAATAAAGGAAAAAAACATAACCACAATACCATGATCAATGTCCATTGCTTAGTGTCATTAAGCGGATTCTATGATACATTTTGACAGGATTTCCTGATGGATTAGATGTGCTCTGTGATAGACAGGTGTTAGGAAGGACTCCACAGTTTTTGTCCTGACAGTTGAAGAGTGGGTTTGCCCTCAAGTGGTAATAAGGAAAACTATGGGTAGACCTGTCAGGTGTTTCAGTGAGGTTCATTATGAGAGGACCACTAGACTTCCAAAGAGAGCTGTTGAGTCTGATACGTGGGTCTAGTTTTGGACATTAACACCATTAAGACTGGCCAAAGCCTTGACACTGAATGAATGACTATAGAAGTGGATGCAGTTAGAGAGGAGGTCCCAGGATAGAACCCTTGGACATCCCAACACATAGGGCTGGAAACCCAGTGGAAGAGCCTGAGCAGGAGCAGCCAGCGAGGGAGGCAGGAAACCAGGAGAATGGCCTGGTCTGGATGCAGAGGGAAGGAAGCATATGGAGGAGGAGGGGATTAAAGGATCAGCTCTGGTGGCAGCTGCTGCTGCTGGTGCTGGTGCTTGGGCACAGTCCTAGTCAGCGTTAATGGTCAAAGCACACTTGCTGTTCTAGTCTGTTCCATCACCAATGACAGACAGTCCCTGAGTTTGGGCGACTTAGAGAACAGATGTTTAATTCAGGAAACCAGAGGCCCAAGGTCCAGGGATCACATCTGGTGAGAATCTGCACATTGGTGAATCCTGAGGACTTACCTGCAGGGTAGTGCATCATGAGCCAACAGGAATGTGTGGATCATCGGTCCACCTATGATGTCTCTGTCTCCTTCCCTCTCTTAAGAAGCCCACCAGGAGGGCCAGTTGGTGGCGTGGTGGTTAGGGTGCTGGACTCCCCCACATGGGTGACTGTGATTTGAATTCCAGACCTGGCAGCTTGCTTTTTTGCTTCCTCCCTCTCTCTCTCTCTCTCTGGGGAGCACATGTACCTTATGACAAATTAAAAATAATAATAAATAGGGATCAGCACTTGGTGTAATGGCTGTGTCACTGGACTCCCATGTAGTTGACCGTGGTTCGAGTCCCAGACCCGGTGGCTTAAACTCACACCGGGTGTGTGTGTGCCCAAGATCCCAAGAGGAGAATGGAGGAGAAGGGACTGCAGTGTAGCCATCACCCCTGGGGGGTGATTTCCCGCTTTCTGTCTCTCTATGTCTTTCTGACGAGCGCATGTGCCCTATAGCAAAAGCCTCTCCAAAAAAATAAAAACTGGTGAGAGGGGCTTTGAAGGGGGTTCCTCTGAGCCTGAGGTGAATTCCCCTGAGCTGTATCTGTGTGAGTGAGGAATCTGAGTGGGAGCTGGGCTGTCAGGCCAGGGTCAGTGGTGCAGAGCCGTGCTGCTGAACTATAGCTAGAGTCCATGGGACAGTGTCAGCCTGGGGCCCTTCTCAATTCTACTGAGGAGACTGTCTACCAGGAGGAGGCCAATCCCAGTAAGAGTTTCTGAAAGCAGGCCTGAGGTGAAGGCTACTTAAACTCACGCCAGGCATATGTGCATGCCCAAGACCCTGAGAGGAGAATGGAGGAGAAGGGATTGTGGTGTGACCATCTCCCCTGGGGGGTGATTTCTCACTTTCTGTATCTCTGTTTATCTCTGTCTTTCTGGCGGTCGACTACGTGGGAGTCCAGCGACATAGCCATTACGCTAACTGCTGGTCCCTCACCAGTTTTGTAAGAAAGAATCAAGCTTTAAGCTGGGTGGCTTTGAACAACAGAAACTTGGTATCTTCTGGTTCTGGAGAAGTTCCAAGTAAAAGGATTGGCAAGGGCCCACTCCCTCCCTCCAAAGGCTTGAAGAGAGGACCCTTTCTGCCTCTTCTGGCTTCTGGTGGCTTAGCTTGTTCCTTGTCTTACACCTGTATCACTCCAGTCTCTGCCTCTATCTTCACACGGTCTCTGCCTGGTAGATGTTTTCCCTGCTGTCTTCTCTTTTCTGTCTTATATAAGGACCGCTGTTACTGGATTTAGGGCCCACTAAGTCATCTTGAGATTCGTAGCTTAACTGTATCTGCAAAGACCCTTCTTCCCAACAAAGTCATATACATACTTTACAGGCAGTAGAGCATGGACAGATCTTTGGGGGGCTGCCATTTGGCCCAGGACATTTCTCCTATTGGGATATGTGTGTAGAGGTTGGATTCCTAGCACACTGATGTCTCCTTCCAAAAGAAATCCTCTCCTTGATTTTCTGCCTCTGGCAAAATTCTTCTTTTTTTTTTAATGTTTGTTATAGGGTGTGTACTTTTGCCATGGAGAAACAGCAAGCGAGTGAGCAAGAGAGACAGAGAGAGAGCGAGAGAAGAGAGAGAGAGAGAGAAAGTGAAGAAAAAAGCATCCCTCCAGGGGTGATGGACATGACAAATTCCCTTCTCCACTTTCTCGGAGACTTTGGGCACATACAGACACACACACACATGCCTGGCATGTTTTTCAAGCCATTGGGTCTGGACTCAACCTCACAGTCAGCTATGTGGGATCTGGCTGTCTTAACTTCCATGTCACTAGCTGGCTCAGGCAAAATCCTTGAGTTTACAGCTTGGAAAAAGGTGCAAGGTGGACTTTTAAAACCAGTCCTGGGATAGTGGATTGTGATGCTCTGCTATGCTGATGCACATGGGAAGGTTTCAGGTTCATGATTGGAGAGCTCTCTGGAGTAAGCCAGGCATGTGTGTGCCCAGATTTGGGGCTGGCTGAGGCTGGGGTAGATCGTGATGCAGGACCCTGTTGAGGGCTGTTTGTCTGCTTCTCTTTCTGTCTCTGTTCCTCACATAAGAAATAAAGAAATAAATGTTAACAAAACAAAACAAACCCAGTGCTGAACCAGGACCTTCTCAGGCCCCACCTAGTGGTCTAGAACCTCCTCTGGAAGTGGAGTACTTGCTCCCTCTTGGACTGATGAACCAGGCGATGGGCTTCCTGCTTCAAATGTGGTCCCAGGACCCCCACACAGAAGGAACTTGCAACCTCCACTGATTTTCTCTTGCAGACCCTGACTTGTTGGATGAGCAGGCACCTCTTGAAGAATCTGCCGTGGGACATGGTGCAGCCCAGCGGTGGCCCGGCCACAGAGCAGGACTTGCTGGGCGAGGAGTCCTCTCTGGGGAAGCCGGCCATGCTGCATCTTCCTTCCGAGCAAGGCATACCTGAGACTCTCCAGCGCTGCCTGGAGGAGAATCAAGAGCTCCGAGGTAAGGAGGTCAGCAAGTGGGTGAGGTCAAAAGCCAGGGCATCTGGGGCCAGCAGGTGACGTGGTGGTTAAGGCATTGGATCCCACATGGTTGACTCCATGGTTCAAATCCAAAACCTGGCAGCTTGAAAAAACATGGGGGAGGGACCAGCAGTTGGTGTAATGGCTATGTCGCTGGACTCCCATGTAGTTGACTGTGGTTCGAGTCCTAGACCTGATGGCTTAAACTCATGCCAGGTGCATGTGCATACGTGTCCAAGATCCCGAGAGGAGAATGGAGGAGAAAGGGTTGCGGCGTGGCCATCCTCCCTGGGGGTGATTTCTTGCTTTCTGTCTCTTTGTCTCTCTCTGTCTCTCTGGCGAGCGCACGCGCCCTAGAGCAAAAAACCACTCCAAAAAAAAAAAAAAAAAAAAGAAAGAAAAAACATTTGGGGCACATGTGCATGCCTGCCCAGAATCTCAAGAGGAGAATGGAAGGAATTGTGGTGTGGCCAAACCCCACGGGGATGATTTTCCACTTTACTTCCCTGTCTCTCTTTGGTGAGTGTGCACACCTTAATGGCAAAAATCTGAGGAGAAGCTGGGTTAGACAGAGGAAGAATCGAGGTGCTGGACAGGCTCTGGGGTGGCCTTGGCAGACCCAACAGGAAGGTCAGGCGTTTGGACAACCCTTCAGAAGTGGGCATGTAGCCAGGTCTTTGTATCACTGCACAGATTGGTCATTCCGTGCAGTTCATGCTGGGAGGGGTAGGATGTGAAGGGGCGTGGTCTGTTCTGGGAAGGGGCGGAGTCTCTCGGGGTGGGGATGGGGGAAGACTTTCCCTGGAAAGGTGTGGTCCCCACTGCCATGTGAAGGGCAGTGGCCTGGGCAGGATAGACTGTCTTGCAAAGAAGTCTCCCCTGGGAGAGGAGGGGCCTTCCATGGAAGAGGGGCAGTACTCACCACCCAGGGAGTGGTGTGATCCTGGGCCAGCCCTCTGTGGCAGCTGAGACAGCCCTCAGTGGAAGGAAGGCCATCCTTTGACCGGGTTTCTGCATCCTCCTAACCCACTAGTGACTGGGGACCCAGTCCCTCCCTGGGCAGCTTTTTATTTGGCAGCTCCTTAGCAGTTGGCCCTGTTCATTTCTGCATCCTCACTGGTATTCAGGGGGCAGCTGCATCTTCCTGCCTGCCTCTGCCCTCATCAGGACAGCACCATCCTCCTACTGAGCCTTTGGGGTGAATGCTGCCCTGGGCATTGTTGGGAGCTGAGCATCCTGAGCCTATGTCCACTAGATGCCAGCAGCACACCTCTGATTGCGACAACTAGCAATGTCTCCAGCCTCATGGCTCCCGAGGAACCAGTTGTCTCCAGGCAAGACCCAGTGTGTTGGGGCCTTCAGAACATGAGTGTTCACAGAGCCAGTGGCTAGGTTGGGGCCCCTGTCCCCCTCCAGGTACACTCTTCTGAGGGGGATTTGGGAACAACAGTACAGCTGATCAGCTGTGTTAGGAACCACACCACCTGACATGAGCTTGGAGGGTTACAAGTAGTCCCTATTGCCCCACATGCCAGGCTCTGGGGCCCTGAGGTGTTGGCCCCTATGGTGACCAGGACTGTCTGTGGAGGAGAGACCATCGGAGCCAGAGGAGAGGGGAAGGGGAACACACAGGAGAAGTCACATGTCCAGGAAAGGCCAGTCCCCACAGTCAGTAGCTGAATAGGTACCAGACTGGGGGAAGAGCAGGGAGCATGACTATCAAGGGATCTGGAACTTTTTGAGGTGCTGGAAATACTTTGGAGTTAAGTAGTATTGCTGATGGAACAACCTGATGGATACCCTAAAAACTATTGGTTAATATATACTTGAAAGCAGTAGAATTGGGAATTTCATGTAGTGTGAATTTACTTTATTTACTTACTTATTTACTTATTTATTTTTTTGAGAGGTTTTTACTATAGGGCATGTGCACTCACCAGACAGAGAGAGAC